ACTGGTTTTTATGCCATACAGCATAAAAACCAGTCAAACAAAGGCACAGGAAAACAGCAGAGTTTTCAGTTGACACTTGAAAGTTGGGGCATATTTAAGGTCATCAGGAAGCAGGTTCCATCTGTGTGCAGCAGTGTAGCTAAAAGCAGATTCTCCCTGTTTGCTTCTGACCCAAGGCTCTACCAGGTGACTAGTTCCTAAGGATCTCAGAGCCCTGCTGGGTTTGTATTCTCCAAGGAGATTAGAAATCTATGTACACACACGTTTAAATACATTTGTACATGGAAAATATTACCGAATTGATCGCTCCCAAACTAATTTCATAGCATAGCAGCTGCAGACAAATGTAGCCATTGAGGTTGAAAATTGGATTATTCTATGTGTTGCTTTTTGTCTGCATAGTTTAGCTTGAATTGTGCAGTGTTGGCTAATGGGGCCACAATCACACAAAAAGCATTGCCTCAATCGTAGACAAACAATTGCTGTGGAAATGTGCAGGTATTGCAAAATCCTACCTCTCAAATATCAACTTGGATAATTACGGTCATTTTTGAAAGAATAATGTCCAAACGCGTTTGTTTGAGTGTGGTTGTACTTTGATGTTAAATCCTGCTCATGCTGTCTTGACCAGCAAAACCAGTTGTTTTTATCTTTGTGAGCCTGCTTTGTGTGTTTCTGTATGAGGGATATGATTGCGAGTCAATTACACCAATCACACAGTTGCCCTCCTGCCGGTTCCAATCAGAATCTAGCCAGTGATAACAGGCATCTTTGATCCTCTTGAGGTGACCTTGTAGATAACGCATGGATGCAGATCCAGCTTGGAACACTGGCTATGAATGAGATCACAAGGTGTGCATGGCTGTCATAGTCAGACATATGAACAAACACAGTATGTACACTTTTAAGATCTTTATTGATTGCAGGGCTGAATATATATCAGTGTGTAATAATCTTTTCGAACACATTTATATCCGCACGTTAAAAATGGTTTATCTATTTTTAATTCATCAGTAAATCAGTATGAGAATTTTGTCAACGTACAGTTTAATGAAGAGATAAGCAAGCCAAGTTAAGATATATCCCCTTTCAAAACAGTAGTTAGAAAGTGCTTTACTTGAAAAATATAAAGCTATAAAAATAAGAAGAGCTAATAGGTTTCAAGATGTGTTTTAGATTTATGTACATGGAATCCACATTGCATTGAGGTATCACCTAGTGTGTTCTTTTACGTACACACATAGAGTACACCATCAAATAAGAAACTGTGAGTACTTGGACGTATGTGTCTGTTTGCTGTTGTCTATTTTCCCATACAGGCACACAAATTAACACATGTGGACACAGAACAGATTCAAACCATAAGGTAAATTAGATTTGCTCATCTGTCTGGATTTCCTCATCTTGACCTCTCACAAACAGTCTCAGATGCATACAGAAACACACCGGTCCCGGGAGTGTGTGAAAGAAAGCATCGTACATTCATTCTCTCGCTGCCTAAATCTGGGCAGGGCTGGAATTCATCACAGGATAAAACCCGTTTCTCATCAAACCCAGGAAAGTGTAGCTAATGCAATTTCACTAAGTCACTGCCTGACTTGATTACATGTTGGCTAGGCAGCGCATGCTAAGGCACCACAGGGGGGCTGGTGTCACTGTGTGAGCAGTCACAGTGTGTATGTGTTTAGTGTGTGTTTTAAGCCATTTTGTTGTATGTGTACATATCTTTTTGTACTCCTTTAATCCATGGATTCTTTTATGGATAGAAGCTGTGTGTCATCTCTGTTCAGGTGTGGGTGTTGCAGATGGAGCAGTGGTCCTCGAGGGGGATTTCAGGCAGATCTGGCTGCATTAGAATGTGTCATTTCTTCCTTTCCAGCTTGCAGTTGCTGTCCCACTGAGCACCACACCTCTACACACCCCTCCCACTAATCCTGGATCAAACCATACAAATGCATGCAGATACTCATTCAAACAACACTGATGAGTCCTCAAGCACACACATACAAATGACACTTTTACGCAATGTGTCGAGAGAGGGCTGGCAGCAGTCAGGTGGCATCCTGACCTGAAACCGGAGCCACCCTGTCACCCAGACACCTCTGAAGAATCCCATGCATATTAACACTGGCCTGTTTAATATTCATCAGTGTTATGCCCTGTTGGCAGCTGGTCCCAGACCTCATGGATCAATGAGGTTTTTTCCACATTTCTTTGTCTGACACTGATGCAGATGTTTAGAGCATGAAATTAAATTGGTCACTGTCATTGGCAATACATACATGGTAGTCAATTTGGTGTGTGTTTGTGTGTATTTGCCGGTTAGTTGTAGCCCTTGGAGCAAACAAGTAATGCAAACATCTCCAGAGTCTGTGACATGTTGATGTTAGTCATGGGAACTTGGGTGCTTGCAAGTTGATGATGAGGAAACAAGAGTTTAGCGAGCTTTTTTCCATGTTGATGATCAGAGAGGGGGAGAGAGAGAGAGAGAGAAATTGAGAATTTGAACTTGAAGAAGGCAGAGTGAGGATGAGCAAAAGAATGCGTTGGCGGCAGCTTTGTTTAGGAGCCTGTAATTGAGTTTTAATTGAATTGGCACCAAAGGAAGGATGAATGGATGAAGAAAGAGAGCTTGAGTGATTTGGACCTCATCATTTTCTCCACTTAGCAACACGAATGAAGGCTTACCATGTAGGCGAATTTCATGGCAAGAGATCAGAATCAGAAACCCCTGATTTAAAAGTTTTGTATAGAATGAAAGGTTCCTGTGTTATTTTAATAAAAATACAGAGTGTTTTCTCCCCTACTTTTCAAATGAAACTTGTTCCATTAGAAATGTATTATGAAGCCTGGCGCTGGGAACAATGAGTTGATATGCATTTGAATGTGAGGCTAGGCACACTGCACAGGTAATGTGGAATAAGCTTTCGCATAGTGAGGTGTCTTTGTGTTATATCACACAAGCTTTGCGAGGCTGAAATGGACATTGAAATGAAAGAGAGGAAAACAGCAGAGCAAGGCTATGTGCCAAACTGAAAGGGAACTGCTGCAGAACTCACAGATGCACACACACCTACCCATTTTGAAACCTTATCAGTAGCTTGGTTCACTGTTTTGTTTGATTTCTGTTCAGCGTTTCCACTTAAGTTACTCTGTACCGGTGGTGGAAGAAGTACTCAGATCCTTTACTTAAGTAAAAGTAGCAATACATCAGTGTAAAAATACTATTATAAGTAAAAGTCCTGCATTCAAAATGTTACTTCAGTAAAAGTACAAAAGTATTAAAACATATTTAAAGTACTAAAAGTAAAAGTACTCACACAGAATGGCACATTCCTGTATATCATAGAGATGAAAATACTCAAGTACAGACAAAGTCAGAGCTACAGGCCTGCTTTGACTGCACAGGTTGGAGTGTATTTGAGGCTGCATCTACAGACCTGGATGAACTCACGGACACTGTGACATCATACATCAGCTTTTAAATATACCTTTGTACACTGCTCAAAAAAAATAAAGGGAACACAAGGGAAAATAAGACATTCAACTATGTAACGAACAAGGTATTTAATAAGAATATTTCATTCATTCAGATCTAGGATGTCTTATGTTGTGTTCGCTTTATTTTTTTGAGCAGTATATATATCCAGTTGAAAAACTGTCTAAACTGTGTGTATGTAAAGCGTTGTACATGCACATTGAGAATCACTGTACCAGAGACAAATTCCTCATGTAAAAAGTACAATATTTGCCTCTAAAATATAGTGAAATCAAAGTTTGAGGTAACAGAAAATGAAAATACTCAAGTACAGATGCTTCAAAATTATACTTAAGTACAGTACTTTATTAAATCTACTTTCCAGTTACTTTCCACCACTGCTCTGTATACTTGACACATCACACCGCATTTCAACTGCCCAAAATGTACCAGGAAAGTGCAGCAAGCAAATTGAAGGTTTGATTCTTACACAGTGCTAAAAGCTTGAAAACAAACTTAAAAAAAAAAAAAAAGTTTTCCACACTGAAATGTATCAGATTCTCTTGGTTTTGAATACAGAAAGTTATGTAGTTGTATTGTTACTTTGCGCCATGGGAGTTAACTATACACCTAAATCATGAAATTTTAATAAATAACATTGTTACTCTTGACTGC